CTTGAAATTCGACCTATTAAACATCATACATTATTGAAAATGTGTCTATTAAATAAAAGCACACTGTTTCCATGAAATATCTCGTGCTTTTTGCTGAAATTGAGCTCGTATTACCGAAAAACATGGAGTTCTGCGGGAAGAATTGACGCTATTTTTTTCAACCCCTCATAGTTAGATGAGGAAAAAACTTGTCTTTATCTTTAAACTTCATCTTTAGTCAAAATGGCGAAAGAAATATGAATTCCAACAAACGTAACCCCATAGGACTGAGCTGAAAAGCTGTGACGGTATTAATTTACATGGCACCGCTTTTCTAACGAATGAATCTATATTTACGTGTTCTTTGGTAGTAGTTACGCATCTCATGCAACGTAGAGATTTGGTTACTGCCATTTGCGTCCAAAAGTTTCATTCTCACGGATGGCTAAAGGACAAATATAACGTCGACGACTTAATTCCGCTGTTCCGCACCGTTAATTAAATTCCTAAAACCAGCAAAGGTTTCAGCCTAATATGTTACTATCACGACAGAAATGAGAGAAAGAATTTTAAATAAAAATTTAGTGGTTTGGCAATATACAGATGAATCATTTGCAAGTTGCAGTGGTAGGTCTCAGCAATACCCTTCTACCTCCTTAGGTAACATGCCTTAAAGAATCCACTTGTACGACCTGTACCGATATTTAGGAGACCTCATTCCGAAGACTTATAGGTTATGCATTCAAGGCGTAGAAGCGGTTACTATACTTATGTTATGGTTGGTTGTCTGCATCAAACCCCTTGAGATGCGTCCTTTCGCCAAACTTAATGTGAATGCATAATATATTGTGCATGATAGTAGGCTAGGAACTTACGTATTTAGCTATATTTTTCACTCTAATTACTACACTTTGATTGTATTTGAGCCTAATTGTTAGTACTTTGTACTTATTACGTGTGTTATATTGTGTAGGATGTGATTTCGAGTGAAGAAGCAAGTTCGGAGCTAAAATGGATGATTTGGGGCTTTGAAGTCTAAGTAGAAGCCCAAAGAATTAAGCCGAGATCGTGTTCGGGGCTCGAGGACCAAGTCTGGATGTTAAAAATTGAGGAAAAAAATTACTCTGGGAAAAATACACTACCGCGCCGCGGGGCACAAGATGCTAGTGCAAAATTTCTGCAGAGTGAAAAAAAAACTGCTCTTTGAACTTTTCCACTGGCGCGGCGCATGGTGCGCGGAATTTTCCTAGAGTGTTGTCCCACTTCGGCTTGAAAAGGATATTTCCGTCCGAGCCCGTTCCTACATGGTATAAATACATCAAAAATACGATTTTAAGAGGACTTTGGACCTACGGAAGATTGGAAGAGCATTGAAGACTCAAAGCACAAGGATTCATCATTCTTTCCTCAACTCAACCCTCGAGTTTGGATTGAATTCATGTTTTCTTATTATTCAACTTTATTTGTGATGAATTTCTCCATGATTATGGAGTAGTTTCCCTTAGGGATTGATGGATATGGTGTTTTGATTGATATTTGTGGATTTTAACTCTAGTTCTTTGCTTGAATTCGTTTATGGAGCTTTGAATTATTTGTAATTTTATTCACCAATTTATTTAATCAAAAGAGGAATACTTTGGTGATTATCTTTGCATTATTTTATTTGGTTTAATTCAGTGATTCTCTTAAGTAATCGAAAGAGCTTGTTGAATTGTTGATTAAATCAAGTTAAAAGAATATTCGAGAGACGTTTTCCTGAAGACTAATCCATTAACGCATGCTTGTATGTTTTCACAGTGCTTATATTAGTTCACCTCGAAGAGTTAAGAATTAATCGAGAAAGGAGTCTTGGCTACACGTTTGAACTAATCATCGAGTGTGTTTACCCTTAAAATGAGTAACAATTAAATTCGTTCGCGGTTTAAAGGATACGTGATTTAATTTAACATGAATGATCTAAGAACGGTAAATAATTAAATCAAAGAGAGATATGGAACAGTTAAGCCTGGCTTTGAATTGGACACTGAAGCTGGCTCCGATCGAGCCCTCGATACGGGCTCAGATGTAATTAAAGAAAAAAGGAACTAAAGAACACTTTGAACAACAGCTAGAAGACAAAAATAAACTTTATTACTTTGATATGTGTGCCAACGGTGGTTTAAAATGAAAAAGTACTCTCCTTTATATAGCCGAGTTTCAATCCCAGTACAAGTCTAAATAAGGTACAAATCTTCTTTTTCGGTAAATATTGATCTGCAGTTGATATCAAGCGGGATTTGCACCGTAATACCCGGTTGAGGGTGAATATTATGGCTCCCCATTTATCGAGCTTAACCGTTCCTCTTTTTCCTTATTCTCGAACCTTCACTTTGTCCGAACCTGATGTTCACTCGTGTCCGATCTCGGATGCACAGTTCGTCCTCCCCGGGCTCAGAAACGAGGAACCCTTCGGCTTTACTCGAGGTTGCGTCAGACCATACTTCCCTCTCATTTTATTACCGGGAAATCGGGGGTATCATTATCCCTGATTTTACCCGTACATAGATAGTCCCCTCACTTTTTGGAGAGCAGATTTATCGAAGCGACGAGAACTGATTAGTTGACCCCGTCTCCTTTCTTCGTACGCTGCAATGGGGTCGATGAGTCAGTGAAACGTCTCGTCCGTCGTGTCGTTCTGACTTTGGACACGTGTGATCCGTCGGTTGACCTTCCTCGAATGTGAAACGTCACGCATTAATTACCTCTCCCCTATAAAAGCTTCAGTTCTTTTTTCACTTTTTTACTTCCCGATTTCAAAACTTCTTAATTTACCCCCATACTTTTTACTTGCTCTTAATCCCTTCAAATTTTCAAACATTGTTCTTCACATCTTCATATCTTCATCTTCCCATCTTCAAATTTTCATACTTTATTATTGAATCATCAAGTTTGACCTTCAAACCTTCATTCCCATCTTCAAACCTTCATACCCGCCTTCATACATTCATGTTCCCAGAATTCGGTGGCAAAAACTTTGAAATCTGTGCCCCAACAGACCGCCCCTTCAACTTCTAACCCCGTCATGAATGTCGAGTGGTCGTACCTGAAGTGGCCCCGGAACCTTCTCTAAATAATTTCATCCCTGGAGGTTGCTCTATAAAAAACAACTTTAAGGTCAAAAAAGCCTCCAGGCAAGGGGATGAGGTGAGGAGGTACATATGCTCCATAACCGAGGACACGCTCCCGACAGTTCGGGAGGACTGCAAGTGGAAGGGCAAGGAAGTGGTCATCCCTGGCCCTGATGAGGACATCACCACACATGTGGAGGGGTATCTAAGTGTTTATACATATCCCTTCACACTTGGCCCGGTGGATACAATAGTCCTCGAGTTTTGCAAAAGGTACGAGGTCTGCCTCGGGCAGATTCACCCGTCCTTTTGGAGGATCATGATCCTCCTTCGTTACTCCGTCAATAAATCAGAGGAACCTTGATTTACCATCGACCATCTGCTTCTCCTCTATAGTCCTCGAATCTTCCGAGGGGGATTTATCAAGCTCGTTCGTCGGGCAAAGAAAGCTCCATTCTCGAGAATTACTGAAGACGGGGATCGAGGCTGGCAGGGGAGATTTGTTCGGGTGAAGATCGAGGATCTCATTCTCCCTGAGTTCCTGCCTTTCCCTGAAAAATGGAACCTAACATATAAGTTCATATCCTCTTGAGTTTTTAGAATACTTTTTGGGTTTTGTTCTTCCTTCTCATCGCCTGGTTCAACCATTGTGCAGTGGTTGCTCGAGTCCCCAACGCAGCTCCCTGCTTCAATGAGTGGGTCGAGGGGATCTACAAACAGTTATTGCACGTCGAGCATGAATGGCGCAAACTCTCAAATGGCCAAGTGGGAGGTTGTTCCCATTGTGAGTGTTCTTTCCCCGATTGGGTTTCCTTTTTTCTATTCAATTGTCATCTTTACTAATTCCCTTTCTTCCTTCCGCAGGTTTGCCCAAGACCACTGAACCTTGGGCAGTAGAAGAGGATGAGGCTCCGTCCTCACCTTCTAAACCCTCCGCTTTAGGATAGCCTATCGCCAAGGCCGCTGTGAAGAAGGAGGAGAAAAAAATAAAAAAGAGGGGGTCTTTCGGTTCCCCGGACGCGGAGCCCAAGAAGAAGAGGGTCGTGGTCAGGGTCCAAAAGAGCAACAAGAAGATTACACGGGCCAGGGTACCGGACCCCTAATCCATTTACCGGCTCAGGGACTACCCTGAAGATGACGACTTGGAGTTCGTCGCCCATGGGCCGTCCATTGATGCAGACAAGCGGGCAGCATTGCAAGGATGTGACCGGGAGGACGAACCCTCTTTGGCTCGGGATCCCAAAGGAAAGCCAGTGGCTACAGCCTCTCGAGAAGCTACTCCTGCTCCGAGAGAAGCCATCAGTGTCATTGACATCCCGGAGTCTCCGTCTCACACGGAGGCTTTATTTGACGAGGCTCAAGCCGTCAAAGAAAACCAACCGAGACATCACAGGCTGCAGACGAGGCCCTCAACCTGTTCTTCGAAAGCATGGACATCGGTGGGTTGGAGGACTACTTCGGGTTTGGTCACCTGGAGATGTCGAAAAAGGATGTGCTGCAAGAGTCAGGTGGGCCGAGCTCGAGCCCAAAGCTGGTGAAGCAGTTCCCCGCCCCGAGCGTGGATCCCGACCATAAAAGAACGGTCATATTTACGATCTCAGCAAACACCTGGGTGCTGTCCGAACCGATTGGCATTGCCAACTACCTTCGCTACCTTGTGGACGAAGAGGATCAAGCGAAGATGAACGAGGTGGATGCAACGAGCCTTTTCAACAAGGTACAACAGGCGCTAAACAGGGTATGTTTTTCTTTCTTTGTACCCCTTGAAGGGTTCGTTTAACCTTAGAATATTCTTATGATCTCATCATTTTGATTTCTCAGGCCTCGGTTCTTTATCACGAGAGCTTCCATCGGTCTCGGATGGAGGTGAGCCAGCTTGAGTTTGAGCTCAAGGAATAGGTCCGGCAGAAGGACATGTACAAAGATCTTAGCAAGCAAAGATACGAGACCCTTAAGGACCTCCCCATCCTCCAAATCGAGCTGAAAAAAGCTCAAAAGGAGGCAACGTCAGTGAAACGGGAGCATGCCGTTCTGGTCGAAAAGGTAAGGGAATTTGAGATTAATAACGAGAGGCTAAGTGCAGCTGCTAACTTCGCAACCTCGCAGGTCCAAGAGAATATAGAACTGATCGACCAGCTCCAGGCCGAGATGAACGAGGTCAAAGCCTCGACCGAGGCGTTGAGGAGCAAGATGGATCTTCTAGTCTCGGAAAAGGAGGCTACTAAAGAGGATTTGGCATCATCCAAGGACCAACTCAGGGTGATGAAGGATAAAGCCGACAAGTGGTCTCGGCTGAATGATGAGCTCCAAGCACAATTGGACTCGGCCATTTCGGAACGGGATGCCCTCGGCCAAGAGTACACCGGGTTGAAGTCCAAGTTGGTGGCAGCTTCGAACGATTCCTTCGAGGTCCAGGATATGCTGCCCCAATACAAAAATAACGTGGAGATAGTCGAGGCCCATTTAATAACAAAGGACGAGTATGTAAAGTGGCTATCCCGGAAGGAGACCCTTGAGGATATTCACGCCCGGGGGTTCGATCTATCGGCCGAGATCGAAGAGGCTCGAGGCCGAGGCCAATGAGATATACGAGCCCGAGGGTTCAGACAGTGAATCTGGCTTTGGTGAAGACTAGGCGGAAATGCCTTAGTTTATTTTTTCTTTTGTATATTTTTTTTATTTTTGGGCCGAGTGCCTCTGTAAATACTTTTGACATATATAACAAAATTTCCTTCGAATATATTGTGTCCTTTACTTTTCAGCATCCGCTTACAACTCTTTGTTTGAAATACGTCATTAATGCCTTAGCGTAGAATTAGACATAATTTAGAGTGTTCATTTCACCAAAGCCCGAATGAGGAATGGTTTAAGTAATAACTCTAAGTTGCTTTCGCTTCGGAATATCTAATAAAAAATGAAGTCTTAAAAATACTTGAATGTTTCAGTTGGACACGATGATGTTTTGCCGAAAGTGGCTTTTTTTATAGTCAGGTAGTACTTTTTTCATAGCTTTTAACCATGTGTAAGGACCTTACTTTTTACATATGGACTTGGACGTCTCCGAGCTATTTTAAGTTGGCCGTAGACTTTCATGTTAGGGCCCTGACTAATAGGCTCGGTGCCTCCGGGATTCGATAGCCCGAGTTGTTCGATCTTATTATCGGACAACAGTCCCTGACTCAGGGAGGCCTGTGGGCTCTAGGGTTTTGAACCAATTATTTATTCGAAGTAACTTAACGATAATATCGCTGGTGCAAATATGAAGTGATGAAATATAGAGGGAAAATTTCTTTTATTACTTTTCATGTAGAGTATATGATCGAAGCACAAAAGCTTTCTGCCATGGCAAGAATGAGCTTCACGGGCACAGTTCGTTTGACCGTTCGACCCTTACAATTACTTCTAATATTTAAGCCTTGGATTGTAACATCAAATAAAAAATACCTTCTAAGGATCCTGACATAGGGCGTAATGGCTCTCCCGGTATTTGAGACTAAGCTCGTGAGGGCTCGAATACTATCGATCCAGTACGGGTGATCAGCAATCCCGGCCTCAGGACGGCCTTCAAACTAGGGTAGCACGATTTACTGTTGCCTCATTAAAATCCTTGCCGTCAAACTCACTTCGGGAAAAATCAGTCCAAGAGAAAAAGAGTGCAACACGTGCTTTCAACCTAATCGTCAGATTTAACCTCGATCGAATACATGCATGGGTTAGTCCAAAGCATAACAAACTTCAAAGGAAATTGTGTTCGTACCTTAGCAGTAGTACCATTTTAAGTGTGCCACATTACAATTGTTCGGTAATTGTACACCGTTCCCTGACTCGAGCTTTTATGAACCTTTCCCGGTTATACCGGCAACTCTTAACGGACCTTCCCATTTCGAGCCTAGTTTCTCATCGTTTGGGTTCTTGGTGTGTAGCTTAATTTTCCTTATTACCAAGTCCCTGACTTGGAAGTGTCGAAGGTTAGTCCTTCGGTTGTAGTATCTCCCTTTTAGGCCGCTAACTGGACCAGGGTGGCTTCTCGCCTTTTGTCCGATAAGTACAAGATTGTGGCCATGAACTCGTCATTTGACGTCTCGGTAGCGTACTGGAACCTTAGGATTGGTTCTCCTACTTCGATCGGGATCAGAGCTTCCGCGCCGTAGATTAAATAGAACGGGGTCGCACAGATGCTTGACTTCAAAGTCGTTTGTTATGCCCACAAGACCTCGGGCAAAATTTCTTTCCACTTTCCCTTTGAATCGGTCAATCTCTTCTTCAAGTTTTGGAGTATAGTTTTGTTTGTTGACTCTGCTTGACCGTTCCCACTAGGGTGGTAGGGTGTTGACAAGATCTTTTTAATTTTATGGTCATCGAGAAACTTACTTACCTTGCCGTCGATGAACTGCTTCCCGTTGTCGCAAGCGGTCTCGGTCGTTATCCCAAATCGGCATATTATATGATCCCAGATGAAGTCGATGACCCTTTTCTCCCGAACCATCTCTAACGTTTGTGCTTCGACCCACTTGGAGAAGTAATCGGTCATAAGCAATATATATTAGGCTTTACCGAGTGCCCATGGCAAGGGACCGACGATGTCCATCCCCTATTTTATAAACGGCCATGGCGATAGGACCGGGTGAAGCATTTCCCCGGTTGATAAATCATCGGGGCATGCCTCTGGCATTCGTTAAATTTTCGAACAAAGTCTTTCACATCTTTCTCCATCTCGTTACCGTAATAACCAGCTTTGATCAGTTTTCGAACCAAGGATTCCGCTCCTGAATGGTTTCCACAAGTACCCTCGTGTACTTCTCTCATTGTGTATTCGGTCTCCCCTGGACCCAAGCACCTAGCTAGTGGCCCGAAAAATGGTCTTTTGCATAATTTTCCCTCGACCAAGATGAACCTGGCAGCTTTAGTACGTAGGGCCTTCCATTCCTTGGGATCCAACGGCAATTTCCCTTTTTTACGATAGTCTATGTACTTGTTTCTCCAGTCCCAAGTCAAGTTTGTCGAGTTCACCTCGGCGTGTCCTTCTTCTACCACCAAGTTCATCAATTGAACTACTACTCTGGAGTCGACTGACGACCCAAAATTGTCCAATGCATCGGCCTCGTTATTTTAATCTCGAGGTAAGTGTTGTAGAGTCCATTCTTTTAATTGGTGTAATGTCACCTGCCACTAATCGGATGACGAGGGGAGAGTCACGTTTTGCCTCGATCACCTCGGCCCACAAGCTCTTAGCTAGATCTAGACATGCAATCGTAGCCTCATATTCGGCTTCATTGTTAGTCAATTTTACAGTTCTAGAAGACTGCCTTATTATGTTACCCGTAGGTGGTTTTAATACGATGCCCAGCTCGGACCCCTTTGCGTTGGAGGCACTCCATGAATAGGGTCCAGATCCCTGAGCTAGTTACCGAGGAGAGCAGTAATTCTTTCTCAACCTCGGGGATCAAGGCCGGCGTAAAGTCAGCCACGAAGTCCGCCAAAATCTGAGATTTTATAGCGGTCCGGGGTTTGTACGCGATAGGCCCATTTGTCTAGCCGACCCGAGAGCTCGGGTTTGTGCATAACATTCCTCAGTGGGTAAGAGATCGCGACACATATGGGGTGACATTGAAAGTACGATTTTAATTTCCTTGATGCACTCAATAAGGTGAGCGCTGATTTTTTTAAGTGTGGATACCTTGTTTCGGCATCGCCTGGGGTTTTACTAACATAATAAATAGGAAATTGTGCACCTTCTTCTTTCCGGTCCAGGACACCACTTACCGCTACCTCTGAAACTGCCAAGTAGAGGTACAACTATTCGTTCGTCTTCGGAGTGTGCATCAAGGGAGGGCTCGATAGGTACCGTTTGAGTTCTTCTAAATCTTGTTGGTACTCCGGTCCAAGGTAAGTCGTTCTTCTTTTTTAGTAATGAAAAAAATCGGTGGCTCTTGTCTGACGACCTCGAAATAAACCGGCCCAACGCGGTTATCCGCATGGTCAGTCTTTGTACTATCTTCACGTTGTCAACTACGGTGATATCTTCTATAGCTTTTATCTTGTCCGGGTTGATCTCTATTTCTCGGTTGGATACCATGAACCCGAGGAACGTATCCAAGCTAACCCCAAAAGCACACTTCTCCGGGTTTAGCTTCATGTTGTATTTCCTCAATATGTCGAAGGTTTCCTACAAATGCTTCAAATGATCCTCTACTCTCAGGGACTTAAACCAACATATCATCAATATATACCTTCATTGATTTCCCTATTTGTTCTTTGGACATCCGGTTAACTAGGCGTTGATACGTGGCACCGACATTTTTTAGCCCAAACGGCTTAACATTATAATAGTAGGTGCCGAATTTTGTTATGAAAGAAGTCTTTTCTTGATTTTCCGGGTCTATCTAAATTTGGTTGTACCCGGAATAGGCATCGAGAAAACTCTGTATCTCGTGTCCGGCCGTCGCGTCGATCATTCGATCGATGTTAGGCAAATGGAATGAATCCTTCAAACATGCCTTAGGTCCTTATAATCTACACACATTCTAAGTTTGTTTCTTTTTTTAGGTACGACCACTACGTTAGCTCACCAATCCGGGTATTTAACTTCTCGGATGGAACCTCTTTTCAAAAGTTTAGATACATCGTCTTTGATGAATACGTGTCTGATCTCGGACTGCGGCCTTCTCTTTTGTTTGACCAGGTAGAATTTTGGATCTAGGCACAATTTGTGAGTTGTCACCTCCGGTGAGATCCCTGTCATATCTAAGTGGGACCAGGCAAAACAATCGACATTAGCTTTAAGGAAATCAATAAGTTTTTTTCTGAGCTCTAGAGTTAACCCCGTGCCTAGGTATACCTTTTGATCCGGTAGGTGCTCGATCAATATAACTTGCTCCAACTCCTCGATTGTCGATTTAGCAGCATCGGTGTCATCGGGTACAATAAAAGACCTCGGGACACCGTAATCATCTATGTCGAGGTCGGGATCATTGATTGCTATTTGGTTTCCTTTTCTTCGACTAGTCCCTTATTTTCTGATGTCGAGACCGTGGGTACTGGGTTCACTTCATCGGCAGCAAACATCTCTTTTTGCGGCCGGCTGTTCCTCGTAAACTATTTTGACTCCTCCCGGATTGGGAAATTTTAACGCTTGATGTAAGGTTGAAGGCACTGCCCTCATGCTGTGAAACCATGGCCTTCCAAACAAGCGTTGTACCTCAATCACGTAGAACTTTATTTCCTGGGTGATCCCGGCAGTGTTCACTGGTAGGGTTATTTCACCCTTTGTCGTCTTGCACGCCATGTTGAATCCATTCAACACCCGGACCGCCGGTATGATTTGGTCCGATAAGCCTAGTTGCTCTACGACCCTCCATAGGATGATGTTGGCCGAGCTACCTGGATCAATTTAACACATGTTTAACTCGAGACTTATTGATAAGTACGGATATTACAAGTGCATCATTATGAGGCTAGATAATGCCCTCTACATCCTCGTGGATAAACGAGATGGCCCCTTCCGGGACGTAATCCCGGGTGCGCTTTTCCTTTGTGATAGAAACTTTAGTGCGTTTTATTATTAGCCCTTGGGGGACCTCTAC